ACATAATGTGATTACATACGGAAATGATGGTTTTATTCAAATATCTAAAAATTTAGTTAGATACAGGTTTAAAAATAATTTTGTTAGATCAAAATAATTATATACACGTAGAGCGTTCAAACTGGTTACAAGCATATCAAAATGATTTACAGCATTGCTTATCATGCTTGAAATTCCTACATAATTACTTTGATGATTCAAAAAAATTATTTTCAGATTTGTATCTCGCTAAATTTTTCAAGCAAATCAAATATCAATAAAGTCGTTCTTTCCGTGTATAAAAATATTTACCTACTTATTCTTTTTTCTTTTAAAATGTCTTCTTTTAAATCTTTAAATCATGCTTTTAAATGGCGGAAGAAAATTAGAAATCCATAAAATTTAAGTACAAATACGATATAAATTATGTATAATAGACATATATCCAGATAAATTTAAAATAAAAATTTGAACTTAAAATTATTTTAAAATTTATATTTATATATTGAAATCTCTTAAATAGGAGAGTTGTTAACATATAATAAGTAAATAATGGACCAATTTTCAAGGAACACAAAGACGACTGCTACAACTCAGTATTATTTATGAACGTATTACTTGCCACTTTTCAAATGTGTTTTATAGCTTTTCAGATTTTCACGGTATGTAAGATCACTTATACTTTATATATATATATATATGTGTGTGTGTGTGTGTGTGTGTGTGTGTGTGTGTGTGTGTGTGTGTGTGTGTGTGTTCTTTAGCATTTTATGAAGCGATTTATAAATTGAATAAATATTAAATTTACTGATGACACATTTTCATTAAAATAATAGCGCGTAGTACTGTGTTAGATTTGCACTGTGTACTTTTATCACATGCATTAAAATATATTACTTTCAGATAACAGATAATTTGAAAGTGCCTATTGCCCGAATATTTTTTCTCTTGTTTTATATCAATTTTATATTAACACATTTATATTGCTATTCAGCTGAAAAACTTATGGTAAGAGGTAAAGCAATAATATATATGTTAATGCAACCTATACGAAAAATTACAATTTTCAGAGCATATGGCGTGTATGAATGTAAGTGGTATGATCTACCACTTACCGAAAAATGCAAAAGACTTAATCGATCATCGATCTTCGATTTCTGTTAAATTGATAGCTGGAAAAACTCGAGATCTTTGCATTAGAAATGTTTGGAATAGTAAGATCTATCTATTTAGAGTATCTACAAAGATGTATTGTTTTTTTATTAGGATTATACATATGCATATATATAAACATGTGCATACATATATATATAAAAATAATATATATAAAAAATATATGTAATTATATATACGTACAAAAAAATTGTTAATTTTTTTCTTATAAAGTTCTGAGAATTTTTTTAAGAATTTTTTAAGAATTTTTTAATACCATATTTTCTCATGTTGGTACAAATAAGAAAATGCAGTACTAAAAAATTGATACAAAATTCTGAAAAAATTCTTAGAGTTCTATCAGAAGAAAATAGATGATTTTTTGTCTCTTACAGTTTTTCTGTAAAGTTAATAGAATTTGAGTAAAAAATTATTGAAGACTAATATTCAGCGATTCAATTTTTAGTAATCGCAGAGAGCGACTCAGTCAAACGATAATTTTTGCGCTGTGAACATCAATGAATATCAATGAAGGTAGAATATATCTCAACACAAAATAGTAAAAATGTGTTCACCGCGATGTTCTATTAAAAATATAATTATATAAACATAATTATTGTTAATATGCTTAATTTTTAATATTTTTAATAATTTCTTTAGTCATGTGTTCTTTAATTATTATTTTAATTTAATTTACTTTTTTTTATTTTATTCATATAAAAAAATATTTAATAAATAATTATATTCTATTCATCATTTAATGTTATTTATTTTATGTATTTATTGAATAAAGAAGTAGGTTTACATGACAAATATATATCTTCAAAATCAAGGTTTGTTTATTAAATCAAAAAAAAAAGA